CCAGGCCAGCTTCTCTAGGAAGGGAATTCTAAAGCCCCTGGGAGCAGCCACCGAGAAGGCCCTCTTCTGCATCCCCACCTGAGCACACGGATGTCACCTGATGCACTTTCTTCAATTAATCATCATTAATGACATGTGGGCAGCGGGCAGCCATGCATTCCTCACAACACGTTGTTTGGACCTTGGGAAAAATTTAACCTGGAGGACAGGTACACACTGTGCACTGTAATTTGGTCCACGGTCTGCAGGTTCCCCATTGCTGCTATTCAAACATGATAGCACTGCCATGATAGGGGTGAAGGTGAGAAGAAGGTCACCAAGGAAGAATGGATGGGAAAATGAAACATAGTAGAGGGAGCTGGGAAGCGCCATTATACTTACTGATCCTGTTATTATACAGGTTTTCCTTCGAATCTGTTGTGAAATGCAACTGGTTGTTAAACCTGTACATGGTAAGATAAAAGACTGAATAAAATATTAACAGGGGAGGGGTGGAGATCCAAATACAGTTTTGATCGCAGCAGAGTCCTGGATAAGAGAATTTTTTATTATCCCTTGCTTTTAGCCCTTATTTACCATCAGGCCATCTTGCCACAAGCATGCTTTTTAGTTCTGACAGCTCTGAATTATGACCATTGTGGGATCCTATCTCATTAACTGAAATGGAAGAATAAAACATCAAACAATCATAAAAATAATTTGGCACTGTGAAACCACTTAGGAGCAGCTGTCAAACAGGTTGGAAGATAAAGTTCTAAATAAAAAAAGAGAGAGAATAGGGGAGAGGGAGGTAGTGTCCTACCATATGCTTCCTCTGCATTATAGACTCCTTAATATTATGAAGTGCCTTCGTTTATGCAGAATAGGCCAGAGACTCCATATATGATATTGATTATGCCTTAACCCCAATTTAGTAAAGACATACTCCTCCTTTTCCTAATCAGATATTGCAGAAACAGTTTTCTGAAAACGTCCCTAATGCCAAGACATATTTTATCTCCGAAGGCTGTGTGGCAGGAGATAGGGCTTTGTCTTGCTTGCTTTCGTGGCTCAGAGCCCAGTCTGAAGACAGCGAAGCCCCAGTGGGGCTCTTCCTCTGCTGTTTTCATCCTGCAATTCAAAAACATACATCTTTATCAAGCTGTTATTGTCAGACAACATTAGATAATTAATAGGCCATTTGTCAGCCTACACAAAACGTGTTAAAATCCCAAACACAATCAGGATAAATATAGTTGCCTAATCTCTGAGGGCTGCCACCTCCCTGTTCGGTCCTGCAGGCAGATACTTGCTATTAAACAAAGCTCATTATTAATCATATCTAATGTTAATTAATTAACCACTTCTGTGCATTGAAGACTCTTTGTGATTTTCAGTTGCTTTAAAAACTGATTGGTAACTTAGTACCGTATCTACTCGAGTCTAATGCACCATCAAATCTAATCCACACCTAAATTTTCAGAACATTGAAACCAAAGAAAGTATTTGCTGGTGAATATAAATGTGCAATTGAATCTAATGCACACCTTAATTTTCTCAATGTTATTTGGCCAAAAAAGATGTACCTTAGATTCGAGTAAATACGGGAGTATTGTGATTAAATTTTGAGATTGCCTTTTGTTCCATATGAAGCGTTTTATATATATACACACACACACACACACACACACACCACACACCCCGATAGTACAAAAGTGATAAAAACAAAAATTTATTATTGTTGGCTAAACATCCCAATTAAACACTAGGTTAATATATTATAATTTCCATGTGTGTTTTTCTTTTTATTTCCCTTTCCTACAAAATATTTATTTAATTTCAACAAATTTATATACTGCTTAATTACAAACAGTGTACAAGTAACTCAACAATACAAGAAATATAACAATCCATTAAAACTATAAAATGAGAGTTAAAATGTTTGCTGAAATAAAAAAAAGATTCAGTAGCAGCAGACGTTCAGCAGGGAGGGGGCCTAATATAATATATATTTATTTCTATCCAGGGTTGCCATACGTCCGGAATATCCCAGACATGTCCGGGATTCCAATGATGGAATTAGTGTCTGGGGGAAAGTTTGGAAAATTGGCAATTTTTCATGTCTGGATTTTTACCTGTTGAAATAAAGCAACCCTTTCCCCCCTCAAGGCAGCTGACCGCACACACACACACACACACTCATGTTACCACAACCAGCTAAGACCACAAGCTGAATTAAAGAGCATCAAGAGCCAGAACCAAAAATAAATCAGTAGAGCAAAAGCAGAATCAAAGGCTTGTTTTTAAAAAATGAAAAGTCTTCCAGTGGCAGCAGAACACAAATACAGAGGAACAGATCCTATTGGGGCAGGGAGTTCCATATATGAGATGTTGCTACAGATAAATTTCTCATGCACGATGCCACTAACTGCGCCTCAAAGGTCAATGGTGTGTGCGAGAGGGCTGCAATAGCTGATTTTAAAGGAAGGACAGGTTGGCATGGGAGGAAACAGCTCTTCAAGTAGCTTGGTTCCAAGCTACCTAGAGCATTATGCACATATTCTGAATTTACACATGAATTGCAATATAAATTAGTGCTTAGGAGAGACTCTTTCCCTGACCTGGTTCTGGTGTAGGAATCTCAGTCTCATAAACCATGGTTCACTCTAGGTCTAAGATCTGGAATCTTTCAGATGTTCTTGGACTCCAACTCCCACGAGAAGTGGTGGACTTTCCTTTCTTGAAGGTTTTTAAACAGAGGTTGCATGGCCATCTGTCATTGATGCTTTAGCTGACATTCCTGTATTGCAGGGGTTTGGACTAGATCAGGCTTCCTCAACCTCGGCCCTCCAGATGTTTTGAGACTACAGTTCCCATCATACCTGACCACTGGTCCTGCTAGCTAGGGATCATGGGAGTTGTTGGCCAAAAACATCTGGAGGGCCAGGGTTGAGGAAGCCTTGACTAGATGATCCTTGGGTTCCTTCCAACTCTAAGATTCTATTATTCTATGATTCTATGAACTCCCAGCACCCCCAGCTGGCATGGACGGTGTTCAGATATGATAGTAGTTATAGTCCAACAACATTTGGAGGGCAACAGGATCCCCACTATTGATTGAGAAGGAGCATTGTCCTCATGCATTGCCTGTTATAGTGGGTCTCAGGGTTATAATGAAGAGCAGTCAATCCCACGGTCCTGAAGCCTGCCCACTATTCTTGGGGGGGGGGGGAATGCACCATATATCAGAGGTACTCCAAACAGCTCATCACATGGTAACACTGCTTGTGGATTGTACAGTTTCAGTTTCTAGGTATAAAAACTTCCCAATAAAGTAAAACACAACAATCAGGGAGAAGGGCTTTAGCTTAGCCTTTTTTGCTTCATACAATACTTTCCTGTGCATATGAATTGTTTATGTAGGGAAGCATTCAGCTGGGCATGTGATGAGCAGAGAGTCTTTCACATTAGAGTTTCTGCTCAGGTGGCATTTTGAAAGGTGGACTGCCCAGGATGAAACTATTTCTTCTCATCCTCTCATCCCTTGCACCTAACTGAAGATGGCAGGCAAGCCTTGGCAAACTGGCATGAGACCATCTGTTGGCGCACCTTTTCAAAAGGATGATTAACAATACAACAGCACGTGAGCCAAAGACGTAGATTAATGTGCAGAGAGCTGTGATAGAATGTCCCCTTCTTCTACAGTGTCAAACTGCACTCTTGGCTTGGCTTGTACTCTCTTCCTTGGTATGTCAGAAGAATGGCATGTCTATATTTGTACTGCCAAACACCTATTCTTAGAGGTGACCTTAAATTTATCTTGGCATGGTGTGTGAACTGCAAAGAGAGGGAGAACTTAAGTTTTTCTTTTTTCTTTGCAAAGGGATGAAATACAAGGAGGGGGGAGGTGAGGAGAAAATCCTGCCCTTCTTTTAAGACGTATGGAGACTTTCCAGTACATAGTGTCTTCAGTTCACAGAGTCCAAAATAACCTTCAAATATCCTTTCTTTCTTGCAAGAGGCCTACAGCCCAAGATCTGGCTGGTTACTTAAAATCAGTCCATGAACTTTGGCCTTGTGCAATTCTAAACCTCCCGACCACATGTGTCTCTGCCCATTCTCACTTCCAGTTTGCTTTCCTCTCTCAGGCTACTGAACGTGTGACTGAGCTCATGTCCTGCTTGTGGGCTTCCCATAGGTATCTGGCTGGGCACTATGAAACAATGCTTGATTAGGTCTGATATAGCAGGGCTCTTCTTATGTTCTTATACTCCTCTGGACCACTGCTGCTTCCAACTTTATGTTCCCAGCCCCCACTCTCACATCAACAGGCTTTTCTTTCTGAGCCTTTTGACTTCACCTCCCACATGCCTTACTATGTCTAATGCCTCCTTAGGATAGAGAACATAGCATGCTGCCTTATAACCAGACTATTCATTCATCTAACCCAATATTGTTTGCTTTGATGCTCACCTTCCGGGGATTTGGGAAGAAGCATTTCATGTCACCCATCATCTTAACTGTGGAATAGAACCTGGGACTGTCTGTATGCAAAACATGTGCTCAATCTGAACAGCTCAGCTAATGGCAGCCTGAGAACCTTCTGTTTGTCCTAGCCCTATTCAACCTGGGGCAGCACTGCAAATACCTGTCAGAGACCTACTGTCAACATTGCCACCAAATCCTTTACTGCATTACAGGTCTGCATAATTTGAAACTACTGTACTTTCCTTCACTGGCTTGGTCCAGTTGGGCCTCTCATTGCCTCCCTCCAAGGGTGTGTGAACAGGGGTTGGCATAGTCAGGTACATATAGTTGCTCAGACCCCCTGGCAGGAGGTCAACTGCTGAGAGCCCCATCTGCCACTCTTGTTGTGGCTGCTTGCTTATGCACATCTGAGTGTGCATTTCACTGAGTGTACAGTGAAACATGATTAAAAAGAAACTCAACATCCACACTCTGATAAATATTTGGATGCACATTCAGTTCAGTTTTTTGGTTCATCATGATCCATCAAGTATTGTCCTGGGATAGCTCAGTTGATAGAGCATGAGACTCTCAATCTCAGGGCCATAGGCTTGAGCCCCATAGTGGGCAAAAGATTCCTGCATTGCAGGGGGTTGGACTAGATTACCTTTAAGGCCCCTTCCAAATCTATAATTCTATGATTCTATAAGTGATGCAGGCAGAAGGCTGTCTCAGCATGTGGACCTTTTTAGCAGAATAGGGCGAGGAAGTGTGACGTAAGGACAAACGCAAGGGGAACTTCTCTTGCTTTATCCTTGGTGTGGTATACTTTGAGGAGGTGCCATAACTCAGTGTTTGAAGGTCCTAGGTTCAATGCCTAGCCTCTCCAGTTCAAAGGATCAGCTAGAAGGTGATGGAAAAGACCTCTGCCTGTGATAATGGAGAACTGCTGCCAGCCTCTGAGCAGACAAGACTGAGCTAGATGAGTAGATGAACACAAGAAGAGCCTGCTGGATTAGGCTAAAGGTTCATGTACTCCAGCATTCTGTTCTCACAGTGGCCAACCAGATGCCCATGGGAGGTTCACAAACAGGACTCTCCTATCGTACAGTTTCCAGCAACTTGTATTCAGAAGCACACTGCCTCTGGCTGTGGAGTCAGAGCATAGCCATTGTGCAGGGTTGCCATACTTCCAGAATTTCCCAGACATAGCCGGAATACTGCAGCTGGAAGCAGTGCCCTGGCAGAAATCACTAAAAATGTCATGGAAATTCTGTTGACCCATGTCAGCAGTGTCATTTTTTGCAATTTCCCTTAAAAATAGCTCAACAACTGTCTGGAGTTTTACTTTTTTGAAATATTGCAACCCTACCATTGCGACTAGTAGGCATTCAGAGTCTTTACTTCTGTGAATTTGACTCATCCTCTTTTAAAGTCATCCAAGTTGGTGGCCACCCATAGTTTCACTATGTGCTGTGTGAAGTACTTTCTTTTATCTGTCCTGAATCTTCCAACTTTCAGCTTCTTTGGATGTCCACCAGTTCTAGTGTTATGGGGGGGGGACTTTTATCTGTTCACTTTCTCCCTACCATGAATAACTTTATAACTTCCATCATGGTGCCTAGTGTAAGGTGTACATAGTGCCTATGTAACTAATGAAGGCAGAAGCAGAATTCACAAATTGTGAGTTTCCCCTGTGGGTTAAACCACAGAGCCTAGGACATGCCGATCACAAGGTTGGCGGTTCGAATCCCCGTGACGGGGTGAGCTCCCGTTGCTCGGTCCCTGCTCCTGCCAACCTAGCAGTTCGAAAGCACATCAAAGTGCAAGAGATAAATAGGTACCACTCCAGCGGGAAGGTAAACGGCGTTTCCGTGCGCTGCTCTGGTTCTCCAGGAGCGGCTTGGTCATGCTGGCTACATGACCCGGAAGCTGTACGCTGGCTCCCTCGGCCAATAAAGCGAGATGAGCGTCGCAACCCCAGAGTCGGTCATGACTGGACCTAATGGTCAGGGGTCCCTTTACCTTTAAGGGTCCATACATGTTACTAATAACTGCTGAGTCCAGGGTTATTCCTAAATCTTGTCTTATCTGCCTAATGCCTGTTGTACAAAAGAGATGCTGAGAATGGTCCTTAGATTTCTATGTCCATCTTTGGTAATACACAGTAATTATTTTCTGTCCTGAAAATGGCATAATTTAATATGTTGTAGTTTATTCATTTGGAGCCACAGTCTTCTCACCATGGAGACTTCAGGTTTCACAACTGTTTTGGGATAGTGTTTAGGTCCCATAATTTGAGAATTAGATCACACATTTCCTGTTTTCAGATTGTTCAGATTGGCATCTCTTTGATTATTGGTGTATCAAATTTTAGATTTCTAGTCGGGACATATCTTACCAGTACCATGGTCAGCATGTAGGTCAGATGGTCCCAAGCATCTTAATATATATGTAAATTTAAGAAATATGTTTATAAGCATAATTGTGTGTATGTACAGATTCCCAAGCAGTTGTTCAGAAAAGAAAAAATAGCCCATGCACAATATAACTGCAGAGCTTAAATTGTTTTATTCTTGCTGAAGTGCTGATGTTGAATTACACATAATGGCTGGATTGAAGAATGACCCCTCAACAAAGAGTTGAGCTGGAATTCAACTGAAACCAGTGTTAGTGATATTAAGGGTCGTGGAAAAGAGAAATGTGGTCTAAAGTTGTATTATGGTCTCTGACAATAAGGCCAGCAATACACTTCAATCAAATACACTTCCAAAGCATTATTTACGAGCCTCCCCCCACCCCACCCTGCAGCTATATTTTGAGACCGTTTGGTTAATGCTTATGACTGCAGTTCCATATACTGTGGTTTTTGGAAGTGCTGCAGACCACACATCTTTAAGGCGCATTCACCCAAGCCTGTTACTGGCACCAGCAAGACTGTCTACTTCAGGTTTAGGCAGAGACCCCAAAACAGTCCAATCTATAGAATGGGGACAGCCCAGTTTATCACCCCCAAATTCCTGCATGCCCAACTCCAGCTTGTCCTTCTTGCACACATTTGTTCTAGTTTTACAAGACGCTGCTCTCCATCCCAAGCCTAACATTGACTCTTCTTACAGTGAGCCAGGCTTCAAATTAAACTTCTGCTTCTTTTTTAAAAAAAGTTCACTGCCTAGACAAGGTGAAGCAGTTTTAAGCACCAATTGCAATGAGAAGAATTAAGCATGTTCTTAATTGCACTAAAAATTGTGGGATCTAAGAGTGCATGACTTCGCTTGGATTGTGTCCAGATTTTCAGGGTGGAGATACACATCACTTGTGACAACAGAGCTAAAGCAAAATCCCAAGCTCACGTGTAAGCCTAGATTCCTCCTAATTTTGGACTGTCCATTTTCCTATTTGTACCTTTAAAAAATAAGAAAATTTGCCTAATTTATCCAATCACTCATTGCCTCCAGAGAGGGGGATTAAGTGCAAAACTGCTCAGGGGCTTGATCCTGCAAACAGCAGGAATGGGAACAGTGCATCTGCTTCAAACTTGCAGATTATTTACTGTACTCCAAAGTCCGAACCAAAAAAGGGATGAGTACATTTTGGCTGAATGCCACAATCATGCTACTGGAGCACTATCAGTGCTCTAAAAAAATTATGTGCATCTTCTTCACCCATTGACAGCCAATTTCATCTCCAGTTGGCTCTCGCCCCACTGGATCGGAAACCTCTGGTCCTCAAAGCTGAAGTGGTCTGGGCACCTGAGTGCCATTTTGTCTCTTGAATTTTAAAACTGCTTCTGTAATGAGAAGCACATGAATCAAGTAAGAAAGAGGCATGGTTCAGAGAATGTACATATTAAAACCCTGGAGGGCATCAGATTGGAGGAAGTCTATGTATCCTATTAAAGGGATGGGCACACATACAGTGCATTCTATAAATTTATGGCATACAGGTTTTGTAATGAAACATATTCTGTCCTTTATTAAGCTTATTAGGCCAATCTGGCCTAAACAATTACTATTAGTATCAAATTGTAGGATTTAAATAATGCCAGAGTACAATGAAGGCCCAGAAGCAAACTGGCTCATTTAGAATGGGAGTGAAAATGTTAGCCAGATTCTAAAGCTTTCATCCACTCTTTTGTACCACTTTTCCTGTTCTAGCATCTGTCTCCATCTGACTCAGGGGAGAGGGGTGGTGGAAGAGAGGAAACTTAAAAAGTGATGTGGCCTCCAGCTCACTGGATCACAATCTAGACATTTGTCAGATTAAGCAATGTGAATGTGCCAGCATAAGAAAATTAACTTGTGTGGACTGTGCCATATAAAAATGGCAGCATGGATTGGCCCTGGTAGGTCTCTATGTAGATGAAAATAAACACTTCCTCCCAGGAACATAATGTTCCTTCTTCCTTAGTACCCTTGCTGTCATTTTCCCTTGTGCTGAAGATGTAGGCTTGCTGTTATCTAAAGAGAAAAGGGGGAAAACTGCTTCCCTCCCTCCCTATTGGGATGTTAATTTCAAGGCTGAGTGATTTCAAGACACCAGGCCTTGCTGGAGGTATCACTCAAGGCTTGCATGCCGGCAGCAGGGGGCCATTTGTCTCACCTGTAGGCTACACGGCCTCAGGAAGGCAGGGAGAACTTTCTGAAGGCTTTGGAATCTGCACCTGCTTTCCACTCAGTGTTTATCTTTTAATCCTCAACCTGGTTTTCTTATGAGTGTTTAAAAAAGAAAGAAAATAAACTGTAGATTTCCGGCCAAACCCCATGAAAAGGATCAGGCTTAAGTGGTTAAGTGCGTTTAGGCAAGTGTTTTGAACATGACTCAGAGCTTAAAAATAATGTTTGCATTGGCTTGGGGCGGGTAAATATACAATGCAGATACAAACCAGACACTGTCTAAAGAGGAAAGTGCTATTTTGAGTAGAAGGATTTCATCCCCTTGTGATTTGTCCAGAGGATGATGCTTCTAACAGGAGTTTCACAATATTTGGGGGTGGGTGGCTTTGAAAAAAAAGGTCTTACTTGCCTACCTCCGTGGCCCTCAAATGCAGCCCCAAGGTTTTCCTGGTCTGCTCTTCTGTCTGCATTTCTACAATTTCTGGTACTACCATGTAGCAACCTCAGGAACCTTCCTGTTTATAACAGCTCCATAGCTGGAAAGAATGAGGCAGGTATGACTTCTGCAACAATAGTCTTCCCGGGTCCCATTGCCACCATCCTAGGTTTGCAAATCAGTCAAGCAAATAAATTTCAAAAAGCTTTTCTTTTTTGTTGCAGTTGGAATAAATGATGTTGTTCTATTAAAACCTTTTTCACCTGCTTGATTTCAGATTCTGAGGGCAGACTTTTCGGGGTCTGGACTAAGTACATAAAAAGAAAAATCCTACACAGTGCAAGAGAAGCTGCATCCTTCATGTCAACTTCTGTGATCATGATCAGACATTGGTTACCTTAACTGGACTTTCCCTGCCTTGACCTAACTTGGCTTGCAGTGACTCCACTTACCTTAGTCAGACTTAACCTACCTTGGCCATACTTTCTTGAAGGAAAGGTTCCTCACATTTAAAATGCAAAAGGGTGTGTGTTTACAATGTTGAGTATCTCAGCAATGCACCACAGAATTTCCAGCCTG